TTGATGTCGTCGCTGAGTTAGCGCGCCTACGGGTGGATGGAGGCCTCGGCGTTGATCCCGCCGTTCCCCCTCAGGACGGGGGCGATGTTGTCCGACTTGCCCCCCGCCGCCAGGGCGCCGAAGAAGCCCGCGAGGGAGTGGATGTGCTGCTGGATCTCCGTCAAGATGTCGCGCCACCAGCAGAGTCGGCGCACGGCAAGTTCCAGCGCAACGGGGGCCAGCCGCCAACATCGCCACGCGTTCAGGGTGGGCGACGACCTGCGTTCGCCACGGCGTTCCGCATGAGCTCGCCCTTCCAGAAAGATCGCACCTGGCCAACCAAACTCGCGTCGAGGGCTTGGACATCCGCCCGGGCGCAGAGATGACTCTCGCCGCCCGACGCAGCAGCGCCGTGAAAGCATCCATCCAGATTCGGAAAGCCAAATTTTACTCTGTTGGTTCCACGCTCTGTTCACCGCCAGCATCCGTCCACGACGTTCGGCCACGCTGTTGCCCGTCGCGGAGAACGCGCCTCCAAGGCGCTTGAATGCGGACAGAAATAGGCCCATGAAAATGGAACCCTGCGCCAGTGTGCGGGCAGCGCCTCGGCGCCACGCAGCTACGACGATCTCGGCCTTGTTGCGACTCTGCTTGCGCCCCCCGGCGTCGCCACTCTCGTCGAGGCACTCGGCATCGGGGTTGCTGGCGTCGCGGACCCCGTCGGCGGTAGCCTCAGGAAGAACGGCCGCGAGCTTCGGGAGGACGTCGATGAATAGGCCGATGCCGACGTTGACAGCGTCGCCAAACATATCGCAGTTCGCGAGAGTGCACTTGGAGATCGAGCGGGTGAGTTCGTCGGACTCGTCGGTGCTGGCGCAGTAGTTCGCCATGGAGAACTCGGGCTCGTTGCTGTCGCCCATGAGGCCACCGCTGCCAGCTCGAAGATATAGAGTGGTCACTCACATGACGGCCCCGGCGCGGCGCTTGTTGAGGAACTCGATGTTGGCGTGGATGCGCGAATGGAGCTCGTCTAGCTCGCCATCCTGCGCGTAGTAGTACGAGGCGCGACCGCCCGCGATGACGCTGAGGTCGTCGCGCCTGCCACTCTGTAGCGCCGATCGTTGATCGTGCGATGTTGCAGCCACTGTCCATTTTGCATGATCTGATTCTGTATGCCACAATCCGCGATAAACACATCATGACTTCTCGCAGTCCTTCACGAATGCCGCCGCGTGCCCACTCAGGTGGAATATAGGGGCCGCCCTCCGCGTTGACGATGCGTCGGTGGAAGCCCCCGCACCATGGGCAGAAGCAGTGGAGTAGCCGTAGTCCTGGGGCACCTGCGATGTTCTTCTTCGCTCGTGCTCTGGCGCGAAGGTCTGGCTCATGTTCGCGAAGGTATGGCTCGTGTTCGCCTGTCCTGGCGCCCGCTCGATGGCGCGCGCCAGCGCGTGCATCTCGGTCAGCAACTTGGCGGGCTTCGTGAAATGGTCGAGGGGGGGCTTGCGCTTGGACGGGTCGATGGGCTTTCTGGAGCCCACGGGGCCGAAAACCTGGAGCTCGACCAGGCCAGCGGTTTACGCAGCAGGTTTGCTGAGGGAGGAGGGGTTGGTCATGATAAAGAAAATCTCCGTGGGCAAACTCCAGCATGGTGAACAATTCCGCCTTGTCATCTTCAACAAGTGTCTGCGCGTGGAGTTGAAGTCCCCGTCGCCAGCCAAAATGTCCTGTGCTCTGATGTGTGCAGCGGGTCCGTCAGGTAGTGGTGGTCGTTGGATGCGTTCGCCGTGTTTGGTAGCCGGTGGGGCCAACAAGGTCACCAGCTAGGTCTCGTCGGGCTCGGTCGCGTTGAAGCCCCCGTCGCGTCCAGGTGCCTGTAGTGCGGTGCTCCACTCGTCAGCCGAAGGCTGGCAGGATGGCAATGAACGAAGCCTCGTCTACGAGCTCCGATGCCACGAAGAGCGCGTCGTCGTGCTGCGCGGTGCATGTCCGCGAGTTGCCGCTGAGCCCAGCGTTCACGAATCTGGTGTTCCAAGTCGTCCTGCTGCGTCCTGATGTACTTATCGTGCTTGTACAGTGCCTTGGTGATGCGCTTGACCTCGTCGCCTGCCGGGTCGGGGGCGTCGCGACGAAATGCCGAGCTGCTTGAAGGCGCCGAGCTGCTTGAGCAGGTCCAGTCTCCTCCTCGTGGTTTGTCTGTACAGTCTGGGCGCTCCTGGCTTGTGGAGAAATGCTTGAGAGCGACCTGCCTGGTCACGGCGACAAACAGGTGCTTGTAGCGGTCGGGGGAGGGGTCCGTGCGCACCTCTGCGAACTCGGCCTTGTACTGCCCCGAAAGTGCCGTGAAGGTCCTTGAGGAAGGGCTCGCGGCGGTCACCTTCCTGGAGGCATTTGCATATCGTGGGTCAACACCAGCATGAACGGATTGTGTTGTCATGTCCAAGGCAAGGAAAGAGAACATACAACAATATCGGCACGTGGCTGATGATGCTGAGGATGATGCTGATGATGATGCAGATGGTGATGCCGATCATGACGAATGGCTGATGACCGATGGCCATGGTGTGGTGATGAAGACGATGAAGACGAGTATGATGGTAATACGTATGATGGTGATGGTAATGATTGAGGAATCGCGGCATGACTGCTCAAGAGTATGACGATGGTGATGATGCTGATGAGGATCGCTATGTTGATGGTGGATGTAAAAAGAGGAGAGGGGACAGAAAAGGGGTGAGGTGTGAGGTTCCTGCGCGGGGAGGATGAATAGACAATAAAAAGCCCACTTAGGATGTGGTGAATAAAGACGGGCTGGTCTGCCGTATGATCGGCCTCCTCACCACGATCTGGGAACGTCAGACAACGACTCTGGATGCAACGCCGATCCCCGGGACAAGGTCCAGCCCTAGGGCCCACGCGATGAAAAAACGTGATGTCGGGGGTCTGGGTGCCAAGACCCCCCAGCGTTGGCAGAAAAATGCGACGGGCGTGTTCTGCCCTGCGTCGTCGGGCCATGGGGCTCTGAGCGCATCCATCTGGGCGCGAGGCACGGGGCAGGAAAGACGGAGCCGAGGGTTCCAGCCGCGGCTTCTGCACGACGCCTCTTCTTGGCGGCGCGGACGGGTTGGTGGCGCCTCCCGACCCAAACCTCCTCAACCCGGACGGTGGCTGGCGATTTTCGGCCTCTGGCGGCCCTCGCTGGCCCCCTGGCCTGTCAAAGATGAGAAACCAGCCGACCCCGGCAGAGCAGCCGGACGAGGACGCGCTCGTCGTCGTCGTCGCCGCCGTCGTCGTCGTCGTCGTGGTCGTCGTCGTCGTCGTCGTCGTCGTCGTCGCCGTCACCGTCGCCGTCGCCGTCGCCGTCGCCGTCGCCGTCGCCGTCGCCGTCGCCGTCGCCGTCGCCGTCGCCGTCGCCGCCGCCGTCGCCGTCGTCGTCGTCGTCGTCGTCGTCCGTCGTCGTTGTCGTCCGTCGTCATTGGCACGGGCCTCGATTGCACGATCTCACCTGCTGCCCACCTCCCTCAGACATCCGAGTCTCCCTGAGTGCAGCCCTGAGTCCCCCCGCCTGACTCTTTGATGCCCAAGAAGGCCCCAAGAGGGCCCCAAGATGGGCCCCAAGACGGGCCTGAGTCTCCTCGCGCTCCCCCTCATACAACAGACTTCATTCGACCGACGGTGATAGGGGCTCCTGCTCATCCTCATCCTCCTCCGCAGCATTCTACCCTTCCTCCGTTCGTCTGACCGTCAAGCATCTGACCCTTACTCATGTTAGTCTTAATCCCCGGCCCCTATTCTTCCTCACCCCTATGAAAAATTATCCCAGTGCGACCCGACCTAGGAGTTGAAGGATCTAGAAAAGCAACATCTAACACTTATATGAAGCTAAGCTAAGCTAAGATGAAGCTAAGCTAAGATGAAATAAGATAAGCTAGAATGAGATAAGCAACGCGAAGCTAAGGGAACGTCACTGGGGGAACCGCGGGGCGGATGCCGGGGGAACCGCCCGGGGCGTGCCCCACTGCCCGGCCCTTTAAGCCTCAGAGTAAGAACACTTCTAGGCAGAGCCCAGGTAGGGAATCACCCTCTACAAGCCACCACCTCGTTATTGTTGTTGTCGCCACTACCCTTGGCCAAGCTAGCGGTTAACGCGCGTCTACACCCTTGCGAGCAATATCCACAGGTGTCACGCATTGCCATCTGAAACTATGCATAGCGGGAGATTCAGCGATCTCATATCTTGCATTCGCCCAGTTGAAAACATGCAAAGTTGCACATGAGCCTCACGTCTTGGAACGCTCGCAATCATGCTGCAAAGACCTGGAACTTCTGGAATGCAGCTTCCGCCCTTGGAAAAATCAACATGCACATCAACACCTCCCATAAAAACAGCATCCAAGCCACTCCAAAACAACACAGGTTGCTCAATTCGAGTGCACATGACAAGTCTTATCAATGAGTGATAGAACTATTCGTAATTCCAATGCAATGGGCCTTCTAGCAGAGTCAGTTTTTCTTCACGAATCGTTTTTTAACGCTCCCGGGGCCAGGTAAGGGCCCCCCAGAGGCCGACCATTGAAAACAACCTTCGCCCTGATTGTCTGGACGTTGCATGTCTGGCGGGGGGTGGGCGACCGAAGGAAGCCGATTCCCAGCGAACCTGTCGCACGCGGCCGTCGCGGAAGTGGCGCAGGGGCGGCGGCAGGAAGGGGCGAAGCCCCAGGCCAAGCAGAGGGTCGGCGGACGGCGCCGACGGGCGTTACGACACCAACGAAACATGGCTGTTTCTCTGGCACAACGGGCCTCAATGGGAGCGCCCCTGGCTGTCGCCCGCCTCCTCGCGCTGGGCTGGCCCGCGCCGCCACCGCCAAATGCCCCCGCGGGGCCGTCGTCGATGCCGCTGCCGCCGCTGCCGAAAGGCGTCGCCATCGCCCCCACCGCCCGTCGCCCGTCGCCAGCCGCTGCCGCAGCCGCTGGCCAAGCCGGGGGCGTCGTCGGGGGCCGTGCGGGACTCCCCCCCGCTCCCGCAGACGGCCCCCGACAGCAACAGCGCGCGTCCGCCAGGGCCGATGCCATGGGGCGGCCGCATCCGCGCGGGGCAGTGCCAGGTCGGAGGAGGCCTAGAAGTGGGCACCGACACCGCTATCGGCGGTGTGCTTTCATCGAGGGAAGATGCTCCCGATCTCGGTGGTGGTGGCAATGTTTGGGTTCCCTGCAGCGGCCGAAAGATGACCCTCAAAACCAACATCCCGGATCATCTTCCCCCGGTGGAGGCCGCCCCCTGTGTTGACGTTGATGCTGACTTCCAGGCCTCCGACCAGGGGGACCCGTCGGCCCAGCTGCGCTCGAGCGAGAGGGAGGGGCCCAGCCCTCCTCGCGTCGTGAAAAAAATCGTTGCGGGAAGTGCCTCCTTATTGTTTCGCCCCCCAGGGGGTCCTGCCCGGCCTCGGGGCCGTCGGAAAACGACTCATGATGAAACGCCTGTCCCCCGGAATCGGTCCAGACCTCTGGGGTCAACATCATGGGAAACTTCGCCTTGGTTGGTACGCAGAGCAAGGCGCCCCCTGGCTACTCTCATGGGCTCCAGCCTGATGACGTGGACGCCTGGAGTTTATACTAACATATCGGCTGGGTGCGGGCTCCTCTGGGGGCGCAGGGTGAACAGGTGTGATTTTCGAAGGGTGCACGCAACCCCTGCCCCACTCCAAGGCCGAGTCTTACCAGCTCGATGCAAGAATGGATTCATGGACATGGCTGCGATTGCGATGTACTTTCCACTGAAGCCGAAGTCGGCCAAAGCAGAAGCACATTATCGAGAGACCTGCACGAGAATGACACAGTGGATAGACCAGGTACTGGTGCATACCCTGCACTCGTCCCTCCCGCTCATCTCCACTGACCTCAACGACGGTATTGGCATCGGTTCACTAACAGGCCAGGGATACGTGCGAGAGGGAGTCATCAGCGAGGCGCACTTGACGAAGTAGTTCACCAAAGGAGCTGGCGAGCAGACAAGAGAAGTACTCCTTCGACATCATTTCGCAGTTTAGAAGACACACTTGCGCCCACTTGGTTTGGATACTCAGGCGAGTCCGCGCGCTTAGATTATAGGTGTGGTCCACTAGCTTGGAAAGATGTGTGCACGCAGTCCTATCCTCTAATTAGGCTCGGCAGACGACTGCAGTGCATTCCAGATCGAGAGCTACGTGACCACGTGCCAGTACATACAAAGCTTGTCTATGATCGGCTCGCAACATGTGACGACAAGAAGGAGGACATGAGTAGGGAGAAGTGGGATCGAAATGCTCCGGTGCACGCCCTCATACATGGAGATCGCAAGCACGACTACTTCGTGAAGCTCAACTCGCAATTGCAGCAAACTATGACAGAATGGGTCGCGCTTGGTCTGCAGTCCACCCTCGATGCGATTTGCTCGCAGCTTGAGAAGGCAATGGCGGAATGCGGCAAAGATTCATCATGGAACCTCAACATGTGGACGATAACTACCGGCAACGTCCACAAGCAAGGCTAGCAGTTCTTCGGCAGCGTCGTGACGTGAGAGAGGCTACGTGGGCAACAGAGGCTACGAAACACGAGGCTGAGGTTCAGCTCCGAATATTTGCGAGAGAGCGTGGCAAAGTTCGCAAGTAGGCTCGGTAGCAAACACGGGAGGCAATTTCACAAGAAATCCAGGAGCAAAGGGAGTGCAGGCGCTTTGCACAAGCATGCAAAACTACCATGGACATTCGAGGACGGGGACAAAGCGTAGAGATCTTCGAGCTCTACCCCTGGCACATCCGACGAAGACCGAGTGGATGTGTGTGCTCAAGCAGCCTGGACGTCAAGGCGGAATGGGCACAGTTGAGATTACGCACCACCCACGAGATACAGGCGATGAATTTGAATGTGAAGAAAGTTCTAATGAGCTTCCCCGTCTACCTGACCCGTGGGACCATATGCCTGAAGATGATGACGAGCAGCCCCCTCCATTTAACAATGATCACCCTACTGATGCTTTTCTGGAGAGCCAAATAGACATCAAACGCTTGAAGTACCTTTGGAAGATGCCAAACGTAAGGCATGCCCGGCTCAATCTCCCCCTGCTGAACTCTACGTGATGATCTTGCACCCTGCTCGGGACGCTAATCAGAAGGGCGTGGGATTCAGTCTGGACGACACTGACAACAGCTACATCGAAGCCACGCTCCACATGGCTTTTTTTTCAATCCTCGATACCATCAGATCACGCCGAAGGATTAGCACGTTAGCGAATGCTACGCCGCATCGCTACTTGCGTCGAAGCGCGGCAAGGCGGCTGCTGAACTCGCTCGCCCAAGGGATCTTCGACTGGCACTTCAGAGAATAAGGCGCACGCAAGTTCGACTCCCAGCTGCTGGAGGTTTACTAGCTTTTCGGCCGACGGAGGGTGGCCTCATGGGGGGCCCTTTCGTGGTGAACTGTTTACCCGAGCCTTCTCACAAGCTGTAGTCCCGTGGACAGAGCAATGGCGAAACAAAGACGCTGGTGGTTAAGTGCCCGATCACGATGCAGCAGGCTGATCCCAGTGTGCAAGTGTACGCCGGCGACATAAACAAGAAACTACTGCAGCCCCCACCAATCTCGAAGGAGTCCGTCGACCTTGACAAGCTGAAGGGCAAGCTGGAGGAGAGTGACGGCATTATGGAGTCTTGTCTCGAGCGGATGAGGTTGGCGCAGAGACGAAAGAAGCATGTCTACATCATGGCAATCCACGGGCTGGGGAACGGCATCGCGAGAAGGGATTTGCGGCGGGGGCACATCAGACGGCAGTGGGACGGGCAGATTGTGGATCAAGCCAGGTGCCTCGGCGCAGTCATTAACAGCATGCAGACACTCGGCATAGAGCTGACGAAGAGATTGCAGGCGGCCAAGGCAGCATTTTATTGAATGGGCTCGTTCTGGAGTGCAGCGAGTATTCCATGGAGGTGGAGGCGCAGAGTACAGCTGGGTCGAGTGGTCAACGCAGCGCTCTCTGCCGTCGAGGCCTTCCTCCCCACCAAGAGGCAGTATGACATTATCGATGGCGCGAAGGCTTCTCTGGCGGGAGTTGCAATGAGGGGGAGGGCCCGCACATTGAGAGAAGATGGTTCAGTACGCTCACTCACGAACTGAACAGGTCCTGGCGCACTGGAAGATAGCCCGGGCAGAAATGGAACTACGACTGCGACGGCTTCGGTGGCTACAGCAGGCAGCGAAGGACAGACACAACAACGTTCAGTTCTTTGCGGCGCTTTTTGGAACTATCAGCGGACCGAGGACCAACACGGTGGGTGGCGACGATAGCGTGTCAGGCAGAGCCAACCCTTGGGCCAAGAGAGTTCTCAAGGGGATGTGGATCAGCTCGTGCGGGCCTCGGAGAACGCGCAGGCACTGCAAGAGGAGGCTGGTCCGCATGTTGTGGCTTGGCTACAACATCCAGCATGGCGCTCACAGTTCTGCTCCATCGATGCCACCATCCTCAGAGCTCGAGAACTCAGACATAACATCCCGCCCCCCAACATGCGTCCCACCCAAACCCCTGGAGTCAAAGGAGGGGGCGAGCATTCACGAGGCGAAGGAGGTTTTCACGTCCCAGGTGGAGGTGGAGGGGAGGACCTGCGGGAGGACATTCTACTCGAAACGCGCTCTCCGTACTCATGCTCGTCAGGTACACAAAATCGTGAACTTGTGCTCGTCCTACAACCCCGCGACCGAGTGCATCGTCTGTCAGGCGGCTTTCGCCACATCGGTCACAGCTCGTCGGCACCTTGCTCGATCAATTCAGCGTGGCTACTATGCCGCCAATCTCTCCCGAGCCCTCGTGGAAGCCCAAGAGACCAGATCCCTCGCCTGCCCGGGATGCGATCCCGTGGCTGGATCTTGGCTCGAGCTTCGCCGGCACCTCGTTCGGTATCTTCCGCATCTGCCAGATGTTCGTGGCCCTGCGAGGGTGGGCAAGAACCTTCGCTATGGCAGAGGACGCGGACGTGCCAGAGTGGATCCCGGAGGCAGGCATCACGGAGGTCAAGTGAGCCCTACCCAAAGGCAAGCGTGGCGCAGCAGAGGGCGACGGGGCGAAGCCGCCCAAGTCCCAGAAGGCGGACGACCTCGTGGAAGAGGCAAAGGGCAGGGCGGGCAAGGGGGCCAGCAAGGCGCAGGTCGTGCAGGCGCTCGTCAGCATGGCGGGCGACCTGCGCGCAGTCACCAGCGTAGTCTTCGTGACGTCTCGTACCAGCGACGATCGCGTGCATCGAGGCGGCGATCAAGGCGGGCAAGGACTACCACCACACGTCGGCGATGAAGCTGCGCGAGGAGCACAAGGACGACGAGAGCGTGGACACGGCGAAGCTGGGGAGCCCTCATCTACACGTGTGGAAAGAATCCATACGAGCGCTCCTCGGGAGTGCCGAGGCAGGAAAAGCGAAAGAGATTATGACGGACTACTGGCGGAACCATATCATGCAGTAGGAACTCCAGGACATGGCAGCGGATGTGAATACTCTCGAGTGCGAGTGCCGCAGGGCAAAGAAAAGAAGAAGAGCAAGCGCATGGAGGGCAAGGTGAGACTGCAGTGGGCGCTGGCGACGACACACAAGAAAGCGGCGGAGCTGGACGACGTGCTGCGCAGGGAGCTCATTCGTCAGGGAGCGGAGATCACGATCGGAGCTGCGCCACGAGGAGTCTGGGAGAGGGACGCCAGAGCGCTCTTGAACAAGCTCGACGGAGGCTCCCAGCAGTAGAGGTGAAGAGGATGGATAGGCTGTCGTCAAGCGCCAGGCTCGAGGAGTTAATTCAAAGAGGAGTCGTCAGTTGTGAAAGGGTCCTCGCTTCAAATACTTCTGCCCTCACGCCCGAGGTTTGATTCCCAGGGCCGCGTTGTGCCTATCGCAAACATTCAGCCGCGCCCTAATGGGCGGGAAGGGGTAGGGGGGGGCAAAATCGTCGCTCGCTCGGAGCGTGGGAGGGGGTAGGTGCCGCCGTGGTTTCGAGTCCTGCAGTAGGGGATGCCGCTGGGGGCCCTTTGCCGCAGGATACGGCATCCAGCTGCGCCCACCCCCTTTCAGATAGAAGAATGGGCCGCCTCCTCCTCGCCTGTTGCTCGCACCTTGAGGGTCGAGGAGGGGGCCGTGTGATTTTCCCACCAGTGCCAGCGTTAAAACTCAGTTGCAGCCACACAGGCATGCCGCCCAGCGATTTCAACAGTCGGATAAGTCTGCTTGTTCTCGCCAAGGGATGTCTAAGTCTAAGTCTAAGTCTCCTCCTCCTCCTCCTCCTCCCCACTCCCCCTAGCTTGCTCAACTTTGACGCCTCTAGCTGTATCGGCCTGTTCGCG